GGTTCCTGTCCTTAAGAGTTTTCTGCCCTGCCAGGGCTCCTTGACATTTGCTAGGGGAAAGGTCAGGGTGAATGAGTGAGTAATCTTGAGTTATTTAGTATCTCAGAAGGTAACACAACATGTCCTTTTTTTTTTTTTTTTAAAGATTTTATTTATTTATTAGAGAATGAGAGAGGGGAGGGTCAGAGGGAGAAGCAGACTCCCTGCTGAGCAGGGAGCCCGATGCGGGACCCGATCCTGGGACTCCAGGATCACGACCTGAGCCGAAGGCAGTCGCTTAACCAACTGAGCCACCCAGGCGCCCTTTTTTTTTTTTTTTTTTAAGTGTGCAGACCTAGGGCCTAGTCCTTGGCTCCCAGGACATTTGGCAGAGTGAATGAAAATGAAAGAACAAAGCCCATAGGGCTGATGAATTAGATCAAGTGACAGCCCTCTAAAACCAGAAAAACAGGCTTGGGCCTGCTGGACAGCATGAGGGTCAAGGAGAGGTAGCTGCTTCAATGGGGTCAGGGGACGGGCATCAGGAAGGATTGGCTCATCACATACTCTTAACATTACTCTTGGGGTAAAGGTACTGGCCCCAGGAAGCTCCCTAACAGTGACTATATAACCTGGGAGGCTAGCCGGAGAAGGATGGACTTTGAGACTGGGGGAGGAGCTCAGAGGGAAGAGTTCAAGCAGGGGCCCAGGGCGGGAGGCTTCACCTGGATCCCTGGTTCGAACTCCCTAGGGGCCAGGGGAGGCTCAGGCCAAGAGCTGAGAGGGAGGAGGGAGCCCCAGAACAGGGCCATTACCAAACTGGGAATGTTTCTGACTAGCCCTAGGCGCAGTCCTTTTGAGAACTGACAGGCAGTTTGGGAGTTAGGGAAAGTAGGGGAACTAGATCTTCAGGAAGTAGCTTTCTAGATTTCAGAATAGAGGATGAACTGGGATGTTATTTTTTATTTTTTTCTGCCCCTACCCTGAACTAGGATATTCTTTTTTTTTTTTTTAAGATTTTATTTATCTATTTGATAGAGCACAAGCAGGGGGAGCAGGAGGGAGAGGGAGAAGCAGGCTCCCTGCTGAGCAAGGAGCCTGACTGGGAGCTCAATCCCAGGACCCTGAGGCCATGACCTAAGCTGAAGGCAGACACTTAACTGACTGAGCCACCCAGGCGCCCCTGAACTGGGATATTCTTAAGTGGCATATTGTTCAGGGTGGTTGGGAAGCTCTTAGAGATGAAAGACAGTGGTCCCCATGAGGAAAAGAAGGCAGTATCCAGAAACCAGTAGGTCTACCTGGGAAGCTGTCTGTCGAAGGAGATTGGAAAACAGTTAAATGGAAAGGAGAACGTGTAACCAAAGATGGAGGTAAGAGCGTAGCCCAGAGGCCACCAGAGTGAGCTGAACCTTGCCCTGAAACTCAGGACGACCAACAGCGCCATTACATATATTTGGGAAAGGAACAGGGAAACAGGGAAACAGGGCCTGGTCTTGGAGGCCAGTGGTATAATATTAGGAGGGAACAGAAAGAAACCAGAGAGACTCTTGTGTCCCATTTTGTTTCCATCTTTTGAGCTTGAAAAAGCAGGACAAATGGTGATAGAAGGGACTTGAACCCAAGTTGGGTGATTCATCTCCTGGGCAAATTTCTGTCTGGCTGACGGCCTACAGGACGGGTGGGAAACAGCAGAGGTCCTGGGGGCTAGAGATGACTAATGTCTAGATGAGGTCTGCAAACGCTTAGAAAAGCTCTCAGAAAGTGGTTGTCACTGGGGCTTGATCAGGCTCATTGGGAACAAGGCCTAACGATTTCAGTTTATTTTTTTGGACCTCAAAGTACTTCTGGATTGAGGTGAGGCCTTTAATAGAGTCTTAGGACATCCCCCTGGACCACCTGACAGTGATGTCAGCATGTTTATAAACAGTGAAAGATTCCACTTTGAAAGGACTCGTTCTTGATTCCTTCCCACCTCCCACCCCTACCCCGTGGACCTTAGGGAAGAGCTCTGCTCTTGACCTTGTTCTGTTCATGATTTGGTTCCTGTCTCGGGGTGGGGGTAGGGGGCTCCTGATGGTGGTGCTGGCTAAGAGCAGGACTGAGATCTGAGGAACTCTCTGTGGGCCACCTCTGGAAAGTGGAATTTACCAGGGCAATGTGACAGACTGCATTTGGGACCAGAAAAGTAGCTGTGCAGGTACAGGCTGGGGTTTGTGGCTTAGCAGCAACATGGTGAGAAAAACTCTCTTGAGCTTGCTGATTGCAAACCACATATATGTCAGCAGGAGGATGTGGCTTCAGGAAGAGGTGCTGTGGGCTCAGGCTCCACAGACAGACACTCAGTGGGTGCCAGGGACGTGATGCTCCGGGTCCCCTGAACCTGACCCAACGACAGCAGGCAGGCAGAAGAGATGCCTCCTGTCTCTGAGTTCTTCAGTTCTGGGAGATTCCATTCCATTTCTTTCATGATTTTTCTCACCTCCATTTTTCTGCTTTCTGCAACTCAGGCAGATTTTGGACCTCTTGAATTGATCTTCTGATTTTCTCATCTATTTTTCTAACATTATCCATCTTTTTTATTTTTCTGTTCTTTCTTCTGCAAGATTTCTTCTACACTTATTCTGAGTTTTTTATTTCACTGTTTATAATTTTAATGTTCAAGAGTTCTTTTTTATTCCCTGAATGTTCATAAAAAAACATGAGCATCTTATCTAATCTGCTGATGCTTCCTTCTAGTTCCGTTTTCCAGAAATGTGTGGACATGTCTTACCTGCTGGTTTCTGGGGTTGGTTGGTTGGTTTTTTTTTCACTTTATTTGATTTTTTGGTCCTCTTCTCTCCGTTCTTGGTTCATATCATTTAAAAAAAAAATCCCTTTTATTTCAGTGGGATTTTGGGGGGCAGCAGAGTTTGAATGTACCTTATTTAACTGAAAGTTTATTCTTTTACTTAACATTTATATATCCTTTTTTTAAAAAATATTTATTTGAGAGAGAGAGTGTGAGTGGGGGGAGGGGCAGAGGCAGAGGGAGAACCCGGCTACCCACTGAGCAGGGAGCCTGATGTGGGGCCCGATCCCAGGACCCCGAGATCATGACCTGAGCCAAAGGCAGACGTTAACTGACTCAGCCACCCAGGCGCTCCACCTTTTTTTTTTCTTAATGTTTTATTTTTAAGTAGTCTTTACACCCAACTTGGGGCTTGAACTCACAACCCCCAAGATCAAGAGTCACAGGCTCCACCAACTGACCAGCCAGGTGCCCCAATATATCCTTTTGTTTTAAAAGTGTCTTTTCAGACACATTTTGATGTGATATTGCTCTCATTACTATTATGTTAGGACTTAACTTCTGCCGTCTTACTCAGTGCTTTCTTCTTGTCATGTGTCCTCTCTGCTTTTTTTCCCTTTCTGATCCTTCATTGTGTAGCTTGAGTTTTCTGCTGGTTTGAAGGTGACCTGTTCTTCTGGTTAGCTCTAACTTACCGTTCCCCTGCCTTACCTCGCCACTGTCCTGTATCTTGAGAGTCTCGGCACCGTCCTGCCTCCCTCTGCTGTCTCCCTGCCTGTGCTGGTCCCGGGTTGGCTCCAGGCCTCAGTGCCGCGGAGAGAAGGTGGCCCTGTTCCTCCGCCATCTTGTTCAGAGCTGCCCTGGAGGGAGCACCGGTGCTCAGTGGGAGTTTGGTTTAAATGACCTTTAAAAAGGTCACTGAGGTCTTGTGCAAGTTCTGGGGATGGTAGATTCTAAGGGAGAGTGAGGGAGAGTGGACATGTCTGAGAGCTCTCTAGTAGAGCCAGAAATAGCAGACCTTCTGAAGTACCCGAATTTTGCTTCTCTGGGACGTCTGCTTCTGGTCCCAGCTTTGCTCTTACGTGCTGTGTGGAATGCTGTCGCTGCCACAGGATAGGCAGGAAACAGATGGGGGGGGGTGCCTCAGTGAGATGATAGGGAGGGATGGGGCCTCTGTGAGTTGGCATGGGCACGCTCCATCCCAAGAGGCAGCCGTGACACAGCACCACCATTATCAAGTAGGAATGTGGGCCCCAGAGTGCCAGAGCTTTTAGTTTTTCAAGAGAAGCCAAGAAATTGGATTTTCTATGTGAAATCTCCCGATCTGTCTATATTGGCTCAAAAATGTTTATAACCTCATGCAGGCCAAGTAGCATGTCTGCAGGCTACATCTGGCCTACATGCCACACGGGATTCCTGTTCTAGCCAGTTGATGATTCTGTCCTTGTTACCCTTGACTCTTCTGTCTCCTGGATAAATGTCCCCTAGAGACGTGATTTTCTACACCCTTCCCTCCCAGCCACTTCTTTGGAGCTCGTTTACTGGCCAGCGTGTTGGTTTAACACCTCATTTTATGAAGGATGGCAACTGGGTCTAGTGCTGCCCACACGACTAACCATCCCCCTGTTTGCATTATGAATTACTTGTGAATGAGGAGTGTGAAGGTAAACTTCATTCTTGCCCCACGAGTGTAGGGCACACAGGTTTTTTTTTTTCCTGGAGTCTGTCTGCAACCAGAGCCCTCAAGGCCTTGTTCCTAGAAGTACGAGAAAGGACTCTGCCTTGTTTTCTCGCTGGGGCATGGATGCAGCCACATCGTGCCAGGCCCCAGCTCCCCAGCGCCTTGGCCTGCAGAGGGCAGGGTTGCGGTGTGGATTAGAGCTCTTTGGGGTGGCCCCTCTTACCCTGCATTCCTTTCTGTCTGCCTCTCGGCCCGAGTGGCAGGAGCCTGCAGCTTTATATGCACTGGGCAGTTGGTGACTCATTCCTCAACAACCCCTCAAATGGGGAAGTGAAACGGCCACATCTGGTGGGGCCTGACCTTTGGGTGACATCGGAAGTAGCTATGCAAACATGGGGCTCACTGCCGAGGAGGGAGAAGTCTTTTCCACAGCCAGGCTGTGAAGAAAGCACTTGCCTGGCCTGGCCCCGTGCGGCCTCCAGGCCGGTGGCTCTGGTAACAGTTTCCTTTCCCTCTCCCTCTCCACCTCCATTGTTTTCTCGGTGACAGCTGGAAGTAGCAGTGGTCACAACCGAGAGAGCCAAACATTTCTACAGCCCCCAGGACATTCCTGTCACTCTCTACAGCGACGCTGATGAATGGGAGGTCAGTGCACAGGGGCCCCAGGGCTGAGTTCCATCGTGTTTCTATCAACAGGACAGCAGTGTCCTCCCTGCTGCCCGTGGTCCTGGAGGCCAGAGCAGTCGGGCTAGGCTCAAGTCAGTGGTCAAGGCCCTCTGGGCAGAGGTGATGAGGAAAACATCTGTGTAGCTTCTGGCCTGCAGGAGGCCCGAAGTCTCCTCCCACCCCAGGCAGAGCTCGGCCCTGGCCCCGTGCCTCAGGTTGAGTGTCCTTGCACTTATCTGGGCTGATGAAACCACAGAGGAGCTCCGTTCCCACCACCCTTGTCCACGTGGCTCCCAGTGTCAGGGCTGTGGAGGGCACCTCGCTTCCCACGGCTGCTGGGCTCTGCGTCTGGTCTCCCGCAGCGGGGCAAGCACCGGCCGATTCACCAGACATCGAGTGTGGGCCTCACAGGGGTGCCCTGCCAGGCATTTCGAAACATTCTCAGCCTAGAACATTTCTGACTGGCCTGTCTTCTCCACCCCACCCCCTCCATTCTCGCCGCCCCAGAGCCCTTCCACGAGCTTGGACAACCCAAGCATCCGCCTCAAGCAGACAGGCCAGGAGTTCTGTGCCAGATGTCAGTCCTCTTGAAAACCAAACCATAAAGGGAATAGCTTGGAGAGACAAGGGGTGTTTGTTTCCTCAGGCCTGGTTTCTCTCAGGCTGTCGGCTCCACAGCCGGTGCTCACCAGCTTAGCTGTGAGAGGGAACAGTAGTGGACTTGGACAGGGCTTGCTCAGGTGGTCTCCCTCGGTTTCTGACTTACGTATACCTCCCGCCGCACTGAGAGAGTAGCCAGCTTAACGACTGCATTTCCTTCCCTCTGCCAGATGTGGAAGTGCCGATCCGACCCAGTTCTCCACATTGACCTGCGGAGGTGGGCCGACCTCATGTTGGTGGCTCCTCTTGATGCCAACACCTTGGGGAAGGTGGCCAGTGGCATATGTGACAACTTGCTTGTGAGTGACTCTACCCTCCTCCCTCCCTGGGCCTCACTCCTAGTTTGCTGAGCTGCAGACTGCCTTTGTACGGGGTTCTTGCCTTGGAATTCTTTTTATGGTGGGCTGATTTGCCTGGAACACTGTCCCCCTGGACCCCCTCCCCTCCACCTGGTGTCACCTATGTTCCGGCCAGTGGACAGATGGATGGATTCAGCTTGTGTGTGCTCTCTTGAGGGCGTCCACCTCTCACCTGCCCCCCTGATGCTCAGCTCTTCTCCCTTTGTGCCTCATTCATGGGCTGCCCTTGATGTGCTCTTCTGTTGGTCTCCCTGCCCAGCCCCACTGCCTGCCCCCCTCAGCCCTGCCTTCTCCCCAGGATCTGGGTATCCACATGGGTGATCTGATAAGAGTGTTTACTTCCTCATGGATCTCTTGTGCACACTTATCTCTCCTGTAGCATTGGCCACAAGGCAGAAATGCGGTTTTCCTGTGTGTTAGGGAAAGCTTAGAGGGGAAGGGAGGAGAAAGACGGTGAGAGGTGCCAGCCGATGGCTGGTAGAGGAGAGGAACAGAAGTCCAGATGCACAAAGTGGGGATTGTCCTCGGCCTAAGGGGCCTCCAGGGAGCTGTTGTCCTAAAAGGCCTTGTTTATATGATCCTCCTGGGAAGAGCTAGGTGTGTCATCTCTCTCCTCCCTCCTTCTCCATTATTACCCCACGTCCCTCACTCATTGAACGTTTCCCTAACATGAACTGAGCCCCATGCTGAGAGACACACAGGATACAGAGAACTCATAGTCTGGAAAGAGAGGGTTGTTGGTTACCCACACAGGTGAGAAGGAAGTATGCTCTGGTGTGTGGTACAGTCTTCAGTGACCCCAGTTGGTCCTTTGACAGTGGACAGTGCTGGGCATATAGTAAGTGTTCAATAAATACTTACTGTATGTATGAGGTCATTAGTCACTCTACTTCGGCAAAGAGCAAAGAGATTTTCAGAGTTTAATAGGACGAAGAAGTAAATAATGAAGCTGGGTCAAAATGTTGGTGGGTCATATAGGAGGTTAGTCTCCTTGCAGGCTTATTGATGGGTGCGTAAGGCACTCCTCGAAGAATCCACTAGTGATTGAAGCATCATTTGAATAAGAGCACAGGGTGACCAGAAGAAGAGTGACACACAGATGATGTAGCCAGGAGCGGGGGTAGGGGAGTTCGGAGAAGGGCGAGCCTGGGGGTGGTGTTATTCAGAAGGCTTCCCAGTGAGGCTGGTGTGTGGCTGACCGGGCAGTTGGAGCAGGTGAGGCTTCAGGCCACTTTCATCCCTGTAGGCCTGAGTGGTGTGTGACCTGCACCATCTCAGCAGATCTCCAGGCTTCCCACTGGCTGGTCAGCATCAGCTGATGTGATGAAGCACACTGACCTCTAGGAGGTATGCCCCAGGCTGGGCTGGCTCTCGGACGGCTCCTTTCTTCCCCTGCAAAACTCTGCTTCCCTTTTTCCTTCCAAGCTGCCCTCACTCCGTGAAATCTTCAGGGTTCCCTCCTCCTGAATTGGCTGAACAGTGTGGAATATGTTCCTAGGACCAGTCCCCAGGCCGTTTGCCTCAAAAGGTTTCACTTGAAGGCACAGATATTTCAAGGAATTACAAATCTCATAGTTTATTTTATTTTAGAGAGAGTGAGCAAGGGAGAGCAGGAGCGAGGGGAGGGGCAGAGGGAGAGGGAGAAGCAGACTCTCCGCTGAATGGGAGCCCAACATGGGGCTCGATCCTGGGATTCTAGGATCATGACCTGAGCTGAAGGCAGATGCTTAACCCATTGAGCCACCCAGGAACCCCTCTCATAAAGTTTAAATTGTCATCATCCTTGCTCTATGGCTCTGTACTCACTTAAAAGATGTTTTGTCCTTTTATCCCTGAAAACGTCGCCCTGCTGCCCCCTTCCTTCAGATCTCCCTTTCCAGTGTCTAGAACTTGGGGTGCTAGAAGAGCAGCGTGCTAGGTGTGAACCTATGTGCCAGGCCTCTGGGCCCTTGGCCGGGTGAGGTGCACTGCCATCTGCCCTCTGGCCCACTCGGGCCCTCGCCCCTTCTTTGTGCTAAATAGCCAAGTAGAGGGGCACCTGGCTGGCTCAGTTGGCAGAGCATGCAACTCTTGATCTCGGAGTCGTGAGTTTGAGCCCCAGGTTGGGTGTGGAGATTACTTAAAAAAAAAAAAAAAAAAAATAGCCAAGCACAACCAGAAAGAGGAGTGACTTCCTTGGGTTGCCAGTCTAGCTGGGAGCTGGTCTCCTGATCTGTACCTAGTCCTTCTCTCTGCCGAGGCAGCTTCCCAGGGGCAGAGCTTGAGGTACTGAACAGAGCACTGACCAAACAGATGTGACTGTGGGAACTGAGGCCTCCTCTCATCCCTCCTGCTGCCAGAAGGTTCAGAGGAGCTGTGGTTTGTCTGTGAAGGGCTGAGCTGCGAGGTGAGGTGGGAAGAGCTAGACAGGCATGGGACATGGAGGTACTGGGTTTGTCTTCTGGTTGTTGGTGTGCTGTGCTTTGAAGATGCTTAGAAACCCCAAGCCAGCACCCACCACACTCCACACGCCGTCAGGGGGGTGCTTCTAGGTATGTTCGTGACTCTTAGAGAAGCGGCAGGTGGCACGGAGCCAAGAGGAAGTGTGACTGAAACTGTCCATTCGGCCTGGTTGCCACATTGAGAGGACTCGGTGGGAAACAGACGCTGGTGTCTGGGACTACACGAGCAGCCAGGTCCTGAGGCAGCAGGCTGTCCCACTTCCTTTCTGTCCCCAGGAGAGGGCAGGGGCACCCAGAGCTCCAGGCATCGGCTCGGGCCTGCTCACGGCATTGTTTCTGGACTCCCCCCTCTCTTCCCACACGGGCTGCACTTCAGGGACGGGATGTGCTGACCATTGTCTCCCCAAGGGGCGCACAGCTGGGAAGGAGGTGCCAGAGCAGTTGGGGAACCTCGGGGCTTATTTCTCCCCACTGCAGCCCCTGTCCCGGGGAGCCTGTGCCTGTATTAGTACTAGGAGCTACTGTTTCGGGAGCCTGTCCTTGATGCCACACCCTGTGTGAAGAGCTGTAAGCATTTCCGGCCTCTGTCCTCACAACCATCCAGTGAGGGGGGCTTTTGCAAAGAGGAAGCCAAGACTCCTGACGTTAAATTACTCCTCCAAGTTCTCCCGGCTTGAAGTAACAGTAGATAGCACAGTCGGGATTTGAACCCAGGTTTGTGATTTTGCAACCCACTGAGCGGGTGGGTCCCTTTCACAGTTCCTCTGGTGTGTGACTTGGTGGGATGGCCTGGAACTTGGGAGGTAGTGAGGCTGTGTGGGACAGTGGAAGACCTCATGGGGCGGCGTGCAGGGCTTCATCCCCTGGATCATTGTCTCCATGGGAGCTTGGGGAATGCAGCTTTCCCATGTGACACGGACAGCACCTTCTTTACAGGGTTGCAGTGAGGTGCGTGGGATACTGCAGGGGAGAGGGTTTTTGTTATGTGGAAGGTGTTCTCATGCCAAGCTTTAGCTGGCCTCAAAGTAGAGCCGGGGTTGGGGTGGATGGGCCCCACCCAATGAGTGGTCTGGGCCTTTGCTTTGGGGGTAACTGCTCCCCTGGCTGGCTTCTTTCTGTGAGGTGTGTCCCATAGTGGAGAAGCCTTGTGCTTTGGCTCAGAGAGCCTGTTCTGCACAGGAGTGGGGGTCTGTGTGGAGGTGGCGGGGCCATTGTGAGTGTTGGGGGAGGACCTCCTGTGTGTCAGGCCCTGTGGGGAGGTGGAGAGGCTGAGGAGACACGAGATGGGGGGACACGGACAAGTTGCACCCAGTCATCCCAAGCCCTCTGGCTGTGACCCAGAGGACAGTGGGTAGGATTTGGGAGCACTGGGGAGGGGTGGCAGGCAGAGCAGCAGGCACCCACTTGCCCCACCGGGCCCTTCTTCACAGACCTGTGTCATCCGAGCCTGGGACTGCCGCAAGCCCCTGGTCTTCTGCCCAGCGATGAACACCGTCATGTGGGAGCATCCCATCACGGCGCAGCAGGTGGGCCAGCTCAAGGCCTTCGGCTATGTTGAGATACCTTGTGTGGCCAAGAAGTTGGTGTGTGGAGACCAAGGTGGGCATCTGGCCAGGCTCATAGGCCATCCCCACAGCCCGGAGTCACAGCAGGGCTCAGCTCTAGGGTCAGATCTGGGTCCACATCCCAGCCTGTTGTGACCTCAGGCAAAACTGTTCTCTGGGCTCGGTTTTCTCGTCTGGGAAATGGAAGTCTTAATTCCTCTCAGACTTGGTAGGATTAAACGAGATAGTATATGTCAAGTGCCTGGTGTCCCTGGCAGGCAGCCCGAGTACACAATGGTTACTGTGACTGTTCCTGGGGCCTGACCTGGGGATGCCTCGGAAGGGATTTGATGGGTCTGGCTCCTGCAGACATGGTCCTGGCCTTCCAGGCATTGGGCTTTCGGTGGAGCACTCGGGAGCACTGAGCAGGGTGGGGGGGGGCTGGGCCCCTGCCTCAGTCTGCAGGCCACAGCAGAACCTTGCTCCCTAGGTCTAGGGGCCATGGCCGAGGTGGGCACCATTGTGGACAAAGTGGAAGAAATCCTCTTCCGGCATGGTGGCTCTCAGCAGAGTTGAACCCAGGATTTCTGTCATGTGTGTCCCTCTGCACTCAGCGTGTTTTCAGGCCAAGTCTATGAAGAAGGTGGATGTTGGCAAAATACGGTGAAGACTTCTGCGTTTACTGGGGAGGAGTCTGGCCTGGGCTGGGGGCCTGACTTGCCTCAGGTTCAATTAGACCAAAGGCCCAGGTCCCGACTTCTTTCCAGCTAAGAGATGCCTGCTTTCCAGAACCCTCTTCCCCTTTCCCTGGGATTGGCACAGCAGGCTGCTGTACGTCCCTGTGCTCTGGGAGGGGGACTGAGGGATGACGGAGAAACCTTGGTTCTCCCTAGTGCCTGGGAGCTGCTTCAGCTCCTTGGTGGGCTGCCCGGGCACCATGCAGAGTCAGAGAAGCCTGTGATTAGCAAGACGCTGAGATTCTCCGTAGACCATAGGGTGAGATCGGGGTAATGGGGAATAAAGAAGAGTGACCTGTAGGAGTCCGTGTCCTTCCTTTACCTCTGTCTGTGGTCTCGGAGATCAGGGGCATTGCTTGGTGTGGTTGGCCAAGGGTCGGGGCTGACAACCGACCCGCGTGTCTTCCTGCCAGTCTCATGTGGTGGTTAAGACAGACCCTAGTTCAAATCTCAGCTCTGCCATGTGCTAGCAGTGGGTCCATGGCTCAGGGCTCTCAGCCTTTCTGACTCTCGCTTTCCTCATCTCGATGATCCTGCCCTCACGGAGTTGTTGAGAGAATTAAATGAGGTGATGTGTGCAAGGTACCTGCCTCCCTGCCTCTTACATAGTAATAAATGTCAACTAAAGGGAAGTTAAAGCTAGATATGTATTCATACCAGTGAGCTTTGCTAACATTTACTGAAATAGACCCTCTCATTGTGGGAAAAGTAAAATCCCCAGCCCTAAGCTGACGTGGCCTCTATGCAAATGACAGGCACACAGCCAGCCAGCCAGCAGGGTCGGAACCCAGGCCCCTTGCTTCCCAATGTCCTCATCAGCTTTGCTGCACCTGAGACCGGGACCTGGGTGTCTGTGCCTCCCCTCCGACCCCACCCAACGGCACACAGGAATTCAGGAAGTAGACTCCAGAGAGAGACGTGTTCTGCCCTAGAAAACCCCACCACCCTGCCTTTGACCTAATTGCTGTTTGGTGGCTGCAGTGGGGAGGGGCTTGTGTGCCTATTTGGAGCTGAGGTTGGGGCTGGCTTCCTGCCTTCCAGGCCAGGGGTGTGTGGGCACTCCCCGCATGCCCTTGGACCGCTGAGGGTAGAGGTTACCTTTGAGGGGCACCAGTAAGCCTGCTGGCTGGGACCACAGCTTCCAGGCCTCCAAGAGCCTTTATTTCTATAGCACTTAATCAAGCACCCCTTTGGGATACGTTGCCTTAGGTCAATAAAGGAAATCTACCTCAAAAGGTAGCATCACAGACCAACCTCTGACAGGTTTGAGGGTTGGCGGGTGGGGAGGGCCTGGATCATTGAAATCCAGAGACAATCCCAGAGTTGCACTTACATGGTTTCCAGCGTCCCTTCTTGTGTCCGCATTGCCCTTTCTTTCCCTCAGCAACCTACTAATGAGTAGTGAGGCTCTCCAATTTTAATAGAAACTGCTACCATTTACTGAGTGCTTACTGTATGCAAGACCTTGTGCTGGGCACTTTAAGAGAGACAGCTGCCCAGCAGACCTGCTACATGATGCTGGTTCTCGAAGTCCACAGGAGCAGAGAGGGTGATAGGACTCTACCCAATACCTCAGCAAACAGCTGTGGCTCCTCAGAGTGGGCCTGAGGAGCTTGTTGGCTGGAAGGAGAGATGTCCCCCATGGATGTGGGTCAGCTGGAGGCTCCATCCCTGGGGTCCACCACTCCGTCACTGCAATCCTGCATCCCTGTTGCCCATTTTGAATGGGGGTCTGGATGAATGGGCTGGCGCTGGGGCTGAAGAGCCCAGGTATCCCCTGAGCCCCTGAGGTTGGAGTTAAGAGGAGAGGGCAGTTAGCATCAGGCTGTACCCGCCTGGCCCCAACTGCAGGGGGAGGGGAGTGGCAGCAACAGCTTACCCCACAAAGAGTCAAAACTCTGAAAGTGGTCAGCATCGAAGTTAGAAGTGTTTCTCAGAGAAGATGCCAGTCCCTCTCTCTCTTTTTTTTTTAAGGATTTTATTTATTTGACACAGAGATCACAAGTTGGGGTGGGGGTGGGCAGAGGGAGAAGGAGAAGCAGGCTCCCGGCTGAGCAGGGAGCTCGATCCCAGGACTCTGGGATCATGACCTGAGCCAAAGGCAGACGCTTAACCAACTGAGCCACCCAGGCGCCCATCTCATTATTTTTATCAAATTCTGGAAGTTTCACAAAATCGAACGTTTGGGTCTGAAATTCACACTCTTGTTCGGCAGCCTGGAGCCTCTCTGGGCTGCTGTGGCTACTGCTGGGTGAGAGGTGCATGTCTCCAAGCCAGGGCCCACCCCCACACTGGCTGTGTCTAGCTCTTCTGTGACCCTCTGATTTCTCCCCACTGCCTCAGGGCAAGGCCCTGACTCCTGGGCAGTACACATCTTGGCCCTCTGTGAGCTGGCCCCTCCTACCTTTCCAGCTCCACCCCTATTACACGTCCCCATGCAAGGCTCCCCATCTTCTTGCCAGACTGGACAGCCTTGACAAAGCCCTGTTGCTTCTTACCTTTGCACTTGCTGTCACTTCACCTGGCTGACTCCAACTCATGCCTCTGACATACCTGGGTGCCACCTCTTTTGGAAAGCCTTCCCTGGCTGACTCAGGCTAGATCAGGTGGTCCTTGCCCAGGTTCCCATTGTGCCCCCTCTTATTTATTATAACACAGAATTGCAATTGTCTGTTTACTTTGTAAACAGGGATCTCCTGGAGGGCAGGAGTTGTCCTGTCCTCACAAAGCCTGGTATGTCATTCCAAGCTTGTACTGACAAAAAAAGGTGTGTGTGTATGTGGTGGAGAGGAGAGGCAGTCCTGCTCCTTTCTGAGCAAGACACACAACCTCGGAGCCATAAAAGCAAAGACTGATAAATTTGCCTACAGAAAAATAAACAATTCCGCCTAGCAATAGCCCAAAGGCACGGTCAAAGACAAACATAAATGGGAAATTATCTGCAGCTCATATAACAAAGGGCTAATTCCCCTAATATATAAAGAGCTATACATTGATTCAAAAAAGACCAAGAATACAAAAGAAAGGTGAGCAGAGGATAAAGAAAATCGAGTCGACATGTTTATGTGCATGCGCACACGTGCACACACACACACACACTCCACATGGCTCTTAAACATAAAAAGCTACTCAACCACATTCATGGGGAGAGTGACACAAAGCAAACTGCACCTCAGCGGAGGTTTTTGTCTGTTAGCTCGGTGGGGGCAAGGGTACGGGCACCTGCTACCTGGACAGCAGGACTGCAGGTTTGATACAACCTCGCTGGAGAACGATCTGGAAATATCTATCAAAATTACGTATGTACTTTACCCTTTCACCCAGCAATTCTACTTCCAGGGATTTGTCCCACAGATACACTCGCATAGAGTACATTATGTCTGAATAAGGCTGTTCATTGCGGCATTGTACATGATGGTAAAAGGCTGGGAACACCCTCGCTATGTCACAACCGGAGACTGGTTGCATCAGTTAGGGTCGCTCCTACACCCGGACACTACGCAGCCACAAGATGAGCGTGAGGAAGCCCTCTAGGTGCCCGTGTGGGATGCGGTCTGAGATAACGCTGCTAAACAGAAAATGCGAGACGCAGAACAATGTCTATTGCATGCTAGCTTGTGTGCAAAACAAGTGAGGGGCGGAAAAGAGGATGTGTTCCCATTGGCTTGTAGGTGCATCGAATACCTATTGAAAAATAAACAAGACACCAGTCCATTGTTTGCCGCTTGGCAGCAGAACTGGGTGGTTGAGAAAGGTGGGAGACCAACTTCATTTTAAGTTGTGAGGCAGATGAGTATAGTATCTACCACAATGGCAGTAAATACACACATTTTAAAAAGGGTTCCTTCTGTCCTTTATCCAGAAGTTCCTAAAAATGACCTGGCAGAGAACATGCAAAAGTCTTGGCAGGGGCATCTGGAGATTTCCATCAAGGCCTTTGGAGTAGAAATGGGTCTGTTTTTCTTGTCATGAGCTAATAGAGGAGGAGGACTTTTGAGTACCCCTGGGTGCTACTTAGAAGCCTTTGAGGCCTCTGATTACACAGAGCTTACGGTCTTATGGGAAGAAGACTCAAGGCCTTAAAACAATCAGATGACTGTGAGAATCAAGTGTGAGACTGTGTGGTACAGACTCAGTGCATGGCTCAGAATCGAGAATAGTAAGGGTGGGCCTGTTGGCGCAGAGCTCATGCCGATGCTTCCTGGAGGACCGGGGAAGTGAAAAGTGGATGGGAAGGCTGAAGACGTGCTACCCTGTGCTTGATGTGGGACACCTGCGTAGGAACTAGACCCTGGAGGGGCTAGGGACTTGGGGAGCTTCTGCAGGGGAGCGAGGCGAGCTTGGAGTGTGGTAGAGGTCAGCCGTGTGGTTCTCGGGACAGATTGGACGATTGAGACGCTGGAGTCGGGTAGGAAGCCAGATGCTAAGCGGGGGAAGTGAGGCTGTGCTGAAGGCCTTGGCCAGACCTGTGGTTCTGGAGAGGAAGGGGGTGCAAAAGTGAGTGACGATGTGACGAAAACCCAGCATGATGAGAAAGCGTAAGAACCACTGTCCTGTGGCTAGAGGGTGGGGGGCCGGGTGGCGGGGGGGCTTAGTGACAATTGTGTGTGTGTTGCTGCAAGATTTATTAGCAGTCCCCAGTGCCACCCACTAGAAAGAATTCTGCTTTGCTTACCACAGTTTTTTTCTCTCAGGATTGTTTAGTCTGCCTTCATGGTTCCTGGGCATTCTGTGGTGTGGAAGTAGAAAAAACAGACTGAGCTAACGGAACTGGGGAGATGGGAAGAAAGGGGAAGGGAGTCTTACTTTTTGTATTGTGCCTCCTTTGTGTGGTAAATTCTGGTCCTGGGTGAAGGGGGAGAGAAATTAAAGCAAGGAGCAGAGAGACTCGATGACCTCCATAATGAAGAGCTGAGAGAGGCCTGCGTGGGGCGGGGGAGGGGGGTGCAGCAGAGCCAGGCGGGTGGGCCAGGAGTTGGGGTACAGTCTGGGAGTTGGCTTCACAGTCTTTGAGCTGCTGGGGGTTCAAGAAGATGGAGGTGGGGGCTAAAGGGGTGTTTGAG